TAGTATTAGTATAAATAGTATTTCTAAGACCTTTAAATTTTTTATTATTTTCATGACAAAATTTTCATTCACATTTTATTTTAGTTAACATTTTAGTAATTTTATGTGCTTTTATCATTTTTATTAGTTTATATATATATATATATATATTTCTAGCTTTAATTAATTTTCTTTATTTCAGTTTTACTCATTTTAGAACTTCAACCTCAACTTGGTTAGTTTGTAAAATTTTTAACTGTTTGTGAAAACATCTGGACTCACAATTTACCCCCAAATCAAAAGAACAAATTACGAAATTCTATTTTTCATAAAGACATACACATTTTTGACATTGCTTTCGTGACAGTTAAGCACATACTCTAACCAAATTCTCATTACTGTAATGCATAATGAAAGGTTTTGTGTGATTCACCCTTATGTATTCACTTAAATGTATTTCTCTCTCTTCTGTAGATTCTACAAAGGCACCGTGCCCAGGTTAGGTCGGGTGTGTATGGACGTGGCTATAGTGTTCATAATCTACGAGGAAGTGGTTAAAGTTCTCAACAAGGTGTGGAAGACGGATTAATGGAGGCGTGACGCTGATGGGCGGAGTCTGGCCTTCATGACAGCATATTACAGCATTTACTCCGCAGCCAAAATATCTGCCAACAGCAGATGACACAGAAAGTCACTGGAATGTGCTTAATTACCGTCATTTAATCAACACGCAGAGAGAGAGAGAGAGAGAGAGAGAGAGAGATTTCCCCAACTAATGTGAGAAAGACACCAAATACTTGAAAACTAGTTTTTACCCCAAAGACCAATTTAAATCTTAGACTTTTTTTAAAAATGTTTTTTTTTTAATGGAAAATTACATCTTTAGGGAGACTCACTCAAATTTTATTTAATTTTTTTAAACATTAGGTATGATAGAAAATTTAATTCTAGTTTTAACAATATTATTTTCTAAAGTGCAATTTACCAGCAAATATTATACTTTTCAATTGTATGCATTTTAATTTTGTTTTCCTAACATGTGATTATATACTAAGTGCTGAGGGCCTAATTTGAACACTGTAAAACTTAAGAAAAAGAATGTGTTTTAGAACAGTCTTAACCTGGAGCCTAAGATATTAACCTATGAATATTAACCTCATCCAAAAATAAAAAAAATCACCAAAGCTTTTAATTATAAGATAAAAATGTGTTTTATACCCTATCTATACAGTGTCAAAAGATTGGAAATATTACGATTTTTACATGTTTTAATGAAGACTTTTCTGCTCACCAAGGCTGCATTTATATGCTTAAAAATACAGTAAAAACAGTCATATTGTTAAATAATATTAATATTAATTTAAGCAGCAAATCAGCATATTAGAATGATTTCTGAATGATCATGTGACACTGAAGACTGGAGTAATGATGCTGAAAATCCAGCAGAAATAAATTACATTTTACAATATATTCAAATATCGTTACTTCATATTGTAATATTTCACAATATTACTGTATTTTTGATCAAATGCAGCCTTGATGAGCAGAAGAGATTTCTTTAAAAACATTTTAAAATCCTAATAACTTTTGATAAGTACTAGTGGTACATACGATACATGCACTTTCACATTTGGTAGTAATCCAGGGTTAGTGATTATTTTAAGTGCCTATATTAATATACATCATATGATCTATTTTTGTTTTTAATTCTACTTGTTTACATTAAGACATTTGCATATAATTACACCCTGCTGTAACAGTATAGCACAAGAACAGTGACATAAACAATAACTGTATGCCTCAATCTCTGAAATCAACACCACACGACATGCTGTGCATTTAAAAACTGAACAGTGTTGTTTCACCCAAGCGAGCGTCACCAAAGAGCCAGATCACTCAAATACAATGTTTACTTCTTTAACATGAGTTGAATGTTGTAAATGATGTGAAAAAGGTAAACGGATCTAGCCAGAGCCTCTTAAAAGCTGATCGCGGATCAGTCCATGCCTTAAAGACAATTCAGCGTGCTTGTTTTTCTGTTCCTCTTCTCCTTCTGCTCTCCTACCTCAAGACGTTCTCACAAATCTGTAAAGACTGACAACAGAGGTGAAAT